TTTCCCTCTGCAACAGCTTAATGCAGTAAGCAGAGAAAATCCAGATGTGACCCTAGGATAAATCACTGCAGCTTTCTGAACTTTTGTGACGTGCATTGTACTGAATCCCGTTTGGTATTATGTCACTGTTAGATTTACCTGCTATTCATGTTCCTTCAGAGCTAAAGAAAAATAACCTCCAAGTGAGAAGATGACCAGAAATTACCTTAACAGTTCTTATTCCTCTGGGGTCTCAAGCCATACTTACATCTTACGTTGTAGTGAGATCTTTTTTTCCAGTAATTTCCTTTCCAGGGCTGGTTATATTTAATAATTTAGTTCTTATTTAAGCTGAGTTTTCTGCTGTCTTTGGGAAAGTCTTGAACTAAGAAGTTCATGGTTTCCTTGGAAAACCCTCACTATTCTCCAGTAAGGAGAAGGAGCTTTCATATAGAGTTCATTTTGAACTTGAAGGCAAATGGTTTCAGAGGTTTTGATTGCTCTAGTTTCATTGCTGCATCTCTGACTGCTACCTGGCCCAATATCTTTTCCCCATCTCCCTTTTCTAAAATGCAGTTTTGGAATGGAATTTTTACATTTTGAATGGACTGAACCCTAAAGCTATTTTCTGCATATTTTGTGTGTTGCTGTGCTCCAGCCAGCAGTGTCAGCTGAAAAAGCTGTCTTGAAAATGCCATGTCTGTGTTTTGACAAAAGATATATTTAATAGGCTACTGAGGGAAGTTTTTTTTTTCTAAAAATGAAACAGGAGGGATTCTTTTAAATTATGCCTAGGTAGAGCTGTGTTGAAAAGAAAGCACTACTCGACCTTTAACTGTACTTCTATGTTTTCATTTGGCAGATTCTTAGTTGCTGCAGAAGAGTTTTTGCTAGTTTGAAGTGGCACAAACGAGTGTAAATTTTCCAACAAGAAAATTCCTGAAGGGGTTAGCTTTTCAACTGATTGCACTTCAGTCCAGGTTTAGGCGTTTTGAATAAAAACTAAAATAGTGAATTTTATTGTGATAAATGGTTTTAAAATTGTGCTTTAAAACGTAAAAATGATGGACACTTTGTTCAGAACCTCCATTTTGAAAAAGACCTCTTCCATCAAAACATTCAGTAGGAAGTAAGTCTGTGTAGCATATCCATCCATGTATTCAGATCCTCAACAGACATTTGAAAACTGCTCATTAGTTACATGAGGGCCACTTCTGTTTCGCTTGTGGGTACAAGTTCCTATCCGCACACACAGCATTACAGAGGATGCTAAAATCTGATTCAAGTTTTAAGATTTACTCATTTGAAATTGTAACAAAACATAGCTGATGCTGCTACTGGCACTGGATTATTTCCCATTAAACCAAGGCCTAATTCAGTTGGGTGTTCTTGGGTTTTTTGTGGCGTTTTTATGATCTCAAGAGAAATGCTAACAGTGTGCTGTTTAAATGTGCTGATGTAATGACTTGTTTTAGCAGATAGATTAGTTTATCGCCCCAGGCAGAAGCTACACACCTGGCAAGGTGGAATACAGCCTAAACCTATATATGACAATTTGGAAAGAGATCACAGCAGTGTGACTTTCCAAGTTAAAGTCTGCAAGGATGGAGGGAAGTAGTAGTAACGTTTTACTGAATTCCTTTCAAAAGATAAAGGAATTGGGAACAGAGACAAATGGATGGCATTCTTGAGACTGGTAATGGAATATTGTGTGTTGTGCTGTCTGCATATTTTTTTTCTGAGTGTGTTCAGAGAGAATGCAGGAAAAGGGCACGAGGTGTCTGCAGGCTGGATAACATGCTTGAAAGTAAGAGACTTTCGGAGGTCAGGCTGTTTGGCTTCTCAGAAGATTAAGATGTGGTTTGTTCTAGGAAAAAAGTATATTGGAAATAAGGAAAGTGAAAGAATTCTTTTCAATCTTGGGAAGAGAGAAAAAAGATGAAGCAAATATAAGCCATAGTTCACCATCGGAGCGTATAGAATGGGTTTTCCTTGTTTGAGGTATTTTTTCAAGCTAGACACGTTTCTTTGATGTATGCTTAGCCCAAGAAGTTGCTGAGCCCACTAATAGGAAAATAAGGAGACTATAGTGGACTGCGACATACAGAAAGCTTATACAGTCTGATTGTGGTTTTTTGGTCTTTAAATGGAAACAGTGGAATTGCCATTACTTCTGCTGAGACTCATCTTCAAACTCCCAGGAGTATTCAGTCAGGATTGCCAGCCTAGTAAATATGCTAAATTTTATGTTTGTTTGGGCTTTTTTTAACAATGGATATTACTATTCAATGATTCCTTGATATGCTAAACATGCTGGGGAAAACCAAAACAAAAGAAAAAAACCACCAGAAAAACCCAACTAGAATGTTGATCTAGATGTGACTTTGGGAAGAGGCTGAACAGGGCTAAAAGTTTTATAATGTTTAGCTGTAACTGTTAAGTTCTTTGTGGAGCAGGGAAAGAAATTAGTCTTCTAGCTCTGTGTGTTTCTCTAAATCAGAGCTTGTGGAATAGTATTTTGTGCTTTTCCAATGAAGTTCGGTATCTGAAGCATAGCTGCATGCTGTAGTTCTGGAAAGTATTAATTGCCTTTTAATTTAGAACTCCAATTTGTTTTGCAGGTGATTTTTTTGACCACGCTGTTCTACCTATTGAGTTCCAGTGATGAGTACTACAAGCCAGTAAAGTGGGTGATAAGCCTGACACCTTTGTCTCAGCCAGGTCCCTCCTCAAATATAGTTGGCCAATCTGTGGAGGAAGCAATAAGGTATGTTGTTGATTTCTTGCCCTTTCTGGAAAATTCTTTTGTAAATTTGATGTTCAACTACTTCAAATACTTAGCAATTGCAACAGCTTATGTTTCAAAGATGAGTTGCAAATCTCAAAGATGAGTTGCAAATCTCAAAAGATTTTCAAGAAACTAGCATTGATTCCCCCATGACTGTGAAAAGAGAGGTTTGACTGGACTTGCCTAAAAAAAATTTCAAGAGGTATGCGCTGTAGTACGTACGAATATTTTATAAAACTGATAACCCATGACATCCCTAACCCATCAGGAAGCAGTGTATTTGCAGCTACGTTGGCATCAATGACTAGTGCAGTTCAGTAGGAGCACATTCATACAGCAGAACAGCTGAAATGGAGGGCCTCACATCTGTACTGTACACATCTCAGAGTTACTTAGTTTGAACTATTTTTGGTCTAATCTTGGGGACTAAGTACCCATTCGCAGTTGGAGTGTGTTAGTTATGCTCCTGGAGTGCATTTTTGGAAAGTTCAGTTTCATCTGAGAGAAATCTAGTTCGTGATCTCTGTGAACCAAATTGCACCAAAGGGGAACAACAGGGGAGCGCTCTCCTTATCCTGCTTAACGCACTACTGTGCTGCACCCCCCGAGTGAGCCATAGTGTTTCATGCTTAGTTCCCATTCTTAGATTTTACCTCTAAACTACTATAGTAATTGGAGGAAGATTTTTTTTGTGTGTGTGTGTGTTTTTGAATACGGTTCACTGAGACTTCACAATAAAACAGTTTTTGGGGTGGTACAGTAATGTATTTCATTCATCTGTGATGAATGAAACTGTCAGCTTTTACTTGTTAGCAGCTTGAAACACTAACATGTTGGTAATGTAATAAATAGATTTCTCAGAACATTGATGAACTGAGCAAAGTTAACAGACTCCGTGCTAAATTCTATACAAGCGAGCGCTGTTATCTGTTACTGGAATTAAGCTGTTTCTGGATACATTTTAACAATGAGAAGGTTGTATCATGCTGTGTAAGATCTGGAACAACAAAGATAATTGCTGTAGTTGTTTGATGAAGGGGCAATCTAGGTAGAAAGCAGCATATTTGGAATTTGACAAAAAGTTAATAGCACTTCTCTTGAGTGACTGCTGTTGAGTTTTCATTGATCACATGGTTAGTACCTCCATTGTATCTCTTCTGAAGAATGTGAGCAGATTTAGAAACTGAAGCTTGCCTCACAAATTGTTCTGTTTAGCCCTTGGTAGAGGGGAACAGTGTCAAAAAATAGGACATGGCTTCTCTGGGCAAGCGTACAATGCTCTGCAAGGAGAATGGTATTAAATGCAATTTTAAATTTATAGGTCTGTGACGCAGGTAACTATTTGTCAAAGTTTAGAATGGTGCAAAGAAAGAAAATAATGTTAGAGAAGCCACAGGAAAATGAGTAGAAAAGGGGCAGCATGCATCAGTGACTGCAAATACAGTGAGAAAAAGCCAGTGTGTGGAGAATGTGGAATGTGAAGCTGCTTGTCATCTGCAAGAGAACTCAATCTGTGTGTTCACTAAGGTAGCCTGAATCAGTCGTTCATATTTGTTTGTTTGGAGTAGCCTGTACTTGGTGCCTTATTTGAGTTCTTTGGAATGCTTCTTCTGGGACTTTTAGAAGTTTCTCTCTCTTGCTCAGTTGTACCTAAGGATTTATCATAATGCTTCTAGATTATCTTGCATTCCACTCAATACTTACTATGATCATCAGTATGTACATACGAAGAGTATGAAACAAATTCCCATGAATTTATGCATGCCAAATTTGTTACCATATGAAAAACAATTGCCACTGCAAGCCGTTTGTTTTCTCACTAAGTAGCAGCTATGCTATACTCGCTCATGCAAGTTGACCAGAAGTATAGAAACATCAGGTTATAAATCTAGGAAGTCATCAGCTGTGCTCCAGCTCCCATCACTTTTCAGGAGGACATAGCACATGCACAAAGCTAAGAGTGCACCTGAAGTAGTCCTGTCCAGAGGGCGGGGATCCTCCTGGAAAGAGATGCAGTTGCATCTCTATTGCTTATGGGCCAGATGACGTGAAAATCCTCTTCTTCCACATTGTCAGTCACTTCCATTGCTATTTTACTTAAAATGTGTTTGTGAAAAGCACTCAAACGTCGATAAAATCAAGGAAGTCTGATGCTTTGTGTCCTTTGCCCTTTATTTGCGAGAAGAGCAAGGGGGAAAGAAGAGGAGGGCAATCAGCAAATGGTTTCTATAGCTCAAGAAGTCCCTTCACTTGAAGCTGTTATCCAGCAAGCACCTCATCAAACCAAGACATTCTCCCATTCCGGTTTCTCTCGTCAGAGCTGTGTTATGGTGTTTATTGTCCAGACTGTACGTAGCTATAGCTTTTATAAATACTTCTCTAACTCCCTTGTTGATGGGTTTGCACAGATGGTGACAGTTCTCTGTTCACACGGAATGATTTGTGAGCTGTATTGGGTATGAACACCTTTCCAGTCTATTTTGAGCCAGGTGCTGAATCTGACTGTTTCTCTCACAATACCACAGATGTTAAATTTGCGTTTGAGTAGTGGGAGAAAAAGAGCTGCAACTGTGGTGACAGTGCAGGAGTTTTAAAAAAAGTTGAAGGGAATCCAAGAGTTACTTGCTGCAAGCCTGGTAATGAAATGGTAATGAAATGCGCTCCTGGCCTTAGACAGGAAATCTATTTGTCCAGGACAAAAGTAAAGCAAAATACCAGCAACAAATACCAGGTGGTGGGAACCAGCAGGGATTCACCAAGTGCAAGCCATGCCATGCCATGTCGGAACCAAGAGCTGGCTTGGCTAGGCTAGTGGTACAAGGGCAGAGCAGTGAATGACAGAGGATGACTTGGAGGCACACGAGGTACAAGGTGACCTCCCTCAACACCCAGCCCAGCTTCACCAAGAAGCAAGTTCTACCGGGCCCAACATGAGCCTAGCTTTGTGGAGGTGGCTGTCCTAGGGGGACG